GGTGTTCCTTCTAATGTCTATGAATTTTATCTCTACACTAGAAATTCCACTTTCCTCTATCTTACTCCAGTGAACCGGTTTTGAAGGCATTCCACCAGTTGAGCTGGCGACTTTCACCTCTTCGCGCCTTATTCGTGCCTAATTCACGCCCTTCTTCCATTCGTAAACAAAACCAATAGTTAAAATCAATAAAAAGACCATCAAAGACCAAAATCCGAACAATCCTATTTTTTTGAAAGAAACTTCCCAAGGAAATAAAAAAGTAACTTCTAAATATTGGGTCAAAAGTTTCACTGCAACGACTTCCCGTTCAAGAGAACCACGCCGACCCCGTTCCGTTCTTCTTCATCCCCTCCCCTGAATGAACCGGATTGATGCAGTGAGTTCGCGTGTAGACATCGGCCTCGTATTGTTCTCTTTCCCCGATCGAAGTGGTTAACGTGAAAAGGATGCTGCGTCTGAATCCTAATTTAAAAAAATGCCAAAGAATCTAGAAAGCTTCCTTGGGATTCTAAGGAGGTTGTCACATCAGGCATACACCAGAGAGTCCCGTGAAAACATGCCTTTGAAATGTGCCAAACTACCCACGATCTACGTTTTCTTTTTCTGTCAGAAATTCTGCATCGCCACTTGACCATCAAACTGATGAATCAATTAGTAAATTGCATTCTAGCCTCTCACTTGCTGTCGGAAGTTTCCGCTGTTTCTCATCATCATTTTCGAAGTCAGTTGTGACAGTAATAAAGCATATTTTTATCTGTTCTTGACTCTGTTAGTGCATCTACTCTTTACGTGAGTGGCATGGGATTGCCTTTTCTTTGCTTGTATGTGTACCCTGTCGGATTCTTATTAGGTCGCATATGGACTCTGTTGGAGGCTAGATGGTCAGCTGTAACAGTAATCACGCGTGTTTTTATATCTGTAATAGTTGATTCATCTGTTAGATAATAAGTTGCTACGGTAATCAAGCATGTTTTTAATTCTGTTATTGGCATTGGGGCGTGGGTTAAGTATTATTCATCGTGCGGTCGTGAGATGTTCGGACCTGATGATAGTAAGCAGTGCGCAATGGAATCCAAGTCACACCTCCCATCCCTTCCCCTCCCCCACCCCGACTCTCTATAGGGGACTTAACCTCTGAAGTCCCCGATGTAAGCGTTGCGCAATGGAATCCAAGTCATAGATCGATGCACTTGGGACTCTAGATAAACGTACACAGACACACTGATTGCTTGATGCATTTGCGACTATATGTTTTGGCATTGGGGGGATGAAAAACGTTTGAATGTGGTGGGCTGGTAATTGGACAAAAGGCTTTTCCCGTACCTATCCAGAAAGGAGTTAGTCCCGGAAATCCCGAGTGAAGTCCTATTCAGAGGAATGCACACAGACACACTGATTGCTTGATGCATTGGCGACTATGGATTTTGGTGTTGGGGGGTATGGAACACGTTGAATGTGGTGGGGTGGTAAGCAGGTTGGAGAGACCTTGACGCACACGGCCAGTCGGCTCCGGAGAAAGGATGTTAATATGCTGTATGCCCGACTTTTCAAGTTGGCCGGGTATAGGGGTTTGCTGGCGGGTTCTCGCATTGCCAAAGATACCGATTTTTGGCGCGAATATGATTGCGCTCTTGAGCGGGAATCTCCCGCCGCTCTTCCCGGTCCCAGACTACACGCGTCTGAGCTGGCAGTTCGGCTTTTGCAGAGTTTGGAGCAGGCGTGTGGTGGAGAGGTCCGGCAACGAGTGGAAGAGATTCTTCTGGGTGAGTTGCGCCTAGTAACATCCCTGCCGACTCTTCCTTGACTGAATGGCAGTCTTGCGAACCTATAGAAAATACTGTTTCCCCCTTCGTCCCCCCGTAATTATCCTCCTTGCTCTGCCCACGCCGGGGCGTGAATCCACGGAATTTGATATGCTTGATCCATTTCGCTTTCTTCTTCTTCTTCGAGTCCTATTTTATTTCAAGAACTGTGTGCCTGGTTAATCATATTCGGGATAATTATCGGGGTAATAATCGCACGTGCAATTCTATTGACGGAACGGAATTTTTCGTCGTCCTGGCCTTGGTAAACGAGGCATGTAGCCTCGTCACATGTAGTCGAGTTCCATTTATTTTTTTTTAAGTCTATTGAAGAAGGCCCTTTGGCGGCCTTGCGCCTGGCGCGGCTAATCATATGACACTTTGTGGGCGTGGCAATTTGAAATGGAGCATTTCACTTCTTTGTGGGAGTGGTTTGAAAACGAGAAAAAAGCAATAAACAATAACGGTTATCGGTCCATGTCGTACACGAGCGCGAATGGTTGGGATCGTTCCTCCGACATGGCCTCGCAATAGTGCCTTCTCACAGGCTACTTATAATCGCTGACGCTGACTGATATGATATCTGTACGGGCAGTGGAGTGGAACGGTCTACCTTGAAATCTTCATTGACATTGCTGTTGTTTGCCAGGCAGTGCAGCGGAGAGATCGGATTTCAAGAATGTACCGGCGTGTCTACGTCCCACTGTTCGCCTCTTGGCTCTTCGGATTTTTTATGTGAATTTCTGCGGTTTTCCACGCAGTATTTCGGCTCCTTAGAAAGCAAACATGCTGAAAACTGACTGCATGCTATGCCATGGTGTTCGTTCATCCCTATCCTACTTTGTGAGGCAAGCCTACTTAGAATCCCTATCGATGGATATGTAAACGACTGACTGTGGATTCGTTGTTTTTCTGTTGCTACCTCTGTGAACCTTATCCCTATCCTACATCGACGACTTCAGAATTTGTTATGACCCATCGTTCATCTTGAGATCCGATAACATAATCGAGCAAAGAAAGAAAAGGCATTACCTCAACCAACGGCTATTTTCCGTAAGCTAGTGTAATCAATGAATGATGGGTGGGGATCGCGTCTTTAGCTACGCCGGGTAGGTAACGTCGAGAGCATCGAGTGAGCATCGAGTGCACGAGAGGCATCTCCGATGTCCATTTAATCTAATGGGTGCTTATTGCACGTTCGTCTGTCGTCGCCTGTTGTGGTGGTTAACCGACCGGATCAATCGCGGTGCGCTGTCGCTCGCAGGATCGGAGGAAGGCGGAAATGAAATGTTGCACCAGATGGTGGAGGGGAGGAAGGGTCTGCTGCACAACGCCGTTGCGGGGCTTCCTCCGGGGAAAGTGTCGGAGGATGTCATCGGCTTATGCTACGCCTTGTGGGCAATGAAGCAAACAGGCAGTCTGGTAGCCGGTGGCAAACATCGGGCCAGCAATGCTTTGGCTCTGTGTCCGGCACGGTCGGGCGCTTCTGCAGCAGGTCGTCAGAGTCACCTGGCGGGAAAGGAAGTGTGCAAGTGGACGCAGCGCGAGCTACTGAATGAACTATACGTGTCGGGCGGGACAAAGGCCGTGAAGGCGGGACAAAGACTGGTGGAGTTGCTGGCCAACAAGAGGTGCGAGATGGAGGTAAGAGTGAAGGGATCATGGAGGAGGTTGGGAGAATTGGAGAGGAAGGTGGTTGCCGAGATGATACAGGAAGCCGGACCATTCGGCCTCAAGGTTGCCGACACGATGATCGATTACTTTCGGTGGACTGTCGGCTGGCGCGCAGCTCCGGCTGGCGGGAAACATGTGAAGGGGAAAGAGAGAAGCGAATCGTACTGCAGGTGGACAGATCAAGCAATTTGGGAGATGCATTTGATTGGGAAGTTGGTGATTCTGGGAGGTGTTCGAGCCATGGAGGTAGGTCTTTCATTGGTCGAAGAAGCCAGGACGCAGCGCCACCCGCAACGGCTCAGGTTGTTGATGCAATCACTGGAGGGTCTTGCTGGGCAAGGCAGTATACCCGTGGCGACCCAATTGATCGGTGGGCTGAAGAAGCGGGCGGACGCTGGGGAGCTCATCTCGGAGGAAGAATGGAGCGTATTGAACGGGCTGAAAATGCTTGGAGGGAAGTGTATGTTCCAGCTTGCCAAATTGCTCCTTCGCGGGCGAAACAAGTGTCCGAGGGAGTGGCAGAACGAGATTCTCTGCGAGATTTACAGAGCCATCGGGCCAATGGGCTTGGAAATCGGCGAGTATTTGCGATCAAGGTCCGTCGACGCCTTGACTGGCAAAGGTTGCGGTGGTGTAACGGAAGGCTTGTGGGGCTGGGACTCTTGGGAGGTCGTGAAGTGCAGGGATGTCAGGAAGGAGAGTGTCATCGGCGACAGGGCAGGACCGACAAAGGCTTATGAAAAGCTCGTCGCTAAGCTGCATGAAGCCAGAGCCGAGGGCGAACACTCCGTCTTGGAGACCGTTCTCTCTCTCCGCAAAGGAGAAGCCGAGGCCATCGGCGACCACTGGCATGTGCCGGAAATGATTCTGAAATGGGCTTTCAATCAACGGTGGGAAATGGTCAGAGAGAAGCTGCTTCTCAAGGGCACCCTGGGTGGGAGCGAAGCCTTGTCCGGTACCGTCTCCATCAAGAGCCGTCATATCAGTCGCGCGGGAAGAGCCATTCTCCAGAAGTTGGAAATGTTTCGTCGGCGGCAACTCCGGCAACTTCTCAAGCTTCTCCAGCTGGAGTATCAAGTGGTTGTGTTCATCTCCACCGTCGAATTTCAGCTCGACAAAGAGGACTTCGCCGTCGATGGCGATACAGAATGGTGTTCTGCGGGCAAGAGCATCATCGTATTTATCACCGGCAAGGACGCGGAAATTGCCCCTGCCTGGTTCAACGAGAAATTTAAGCAACTCGGCAACTGGGAGTTCGAACCCGCTGTCGTTTTCGACGCGCACGTGTACGTGCATCCCTTGATGGTTTCCGTCAAAGGCTTTCAATCATCGTGGGATTTCCACCGGTGCGTGTCTGCAGGAGAAGCGTGGGACTCAGGTTCCCTGCTCGCTAGGGATTTCGTGGAGCAGAAGGTGTGGGCTTTCGCCAGGCTTCGTTTCTTTTCGAATAGTAAACAGTGGGACACTCTGGCGAGGATAGTGGAGGAAGGTCTCAGCGTCGGCACGGCGCGTCGATCACGTTTGGTTCTCGCCGTCCGCATCTTCGATCTCGCTGGACTTAAGTGCGACAGGTACGTGAGAAGCCTTCGGTCGAAAATGGAGTCGCTCGTGCCGGGCAAAGCACAGTCCGGATTGATTGCCGAAGCATTCAAGGTATCGGCCGGGGGGCGGAGCGGTAGGCGCACCGCCACGGAAAAGCTATTGCTTCCGTCTTCTCCCTCGAGCTCGACTTCCTCGTTGTCTTCGACGTCTTCCGACGACTCCGGGGACGAGGAATGGCGCCGGCGTATGCTAGACAAGTTGAAGAAGGAGCAGAGCAAGAAGGAAACGGCGGTAGTCGACAAGCATCGTCGCCATCACCGTCAGCACAGTGGGCAGTCCTCGTCTGACTCCGCGGATACCTATGCGCAGAAGATAAGGAAGTCAAAGATGTTGCCACTTCGCCGTCATCGCGGCAGCACCAACATCGACGATAGCAGCGATGGCGACGACAGGCGTCGTCGTCGTCAATCGCATCGTCATGAGGCGAAGGTGCATAGAAATGTTTCTTTCTCGTGCGACTCCGACAATAGTAGCGACCACTCTCACAAGGTCGATAGCTGTTCCGCGAAACGAACTGATGATAGACGGCATCAACAAACTGTGATCAAGGGAGAAGAACAAAGGAAGGAGCAGAAGAGTTCCGGTGGAGTCTCGGATGACAGTGAGGGCGCTCGTCTGAAGAAGACTAAGGTGCAAACGACGAACGTAAAGTTGGACAGGAGGACAGTACAATTGACGACCGACAGCGGCACCGAGACAATCGTGGATGACAGCGAAGAGAGTGATCGTGTGGGCTCGCGATACAGGAAGGAAAGGACGAGCAAAATCGGCACGATCAGGAAGTCGAAGGAGCACTTTGTTCACGAGGGCGACAGCGACCGCGATCGTTCATGTGCGCGGTTGACGAAGAAGACTGCTGCAGCAGATTACAAAAAGTCGAGTGACTCGGTGAAGAAGTCGTCGTCGTCCTCTTCAAAGGTCGAGAACCGCAAGAAGGCGACTAGTGCGAAGCAATCGGACAGTGGAGTGAGTGATCGTGGTGGCCGGGGATACAGTAAGGAAACGACGTACCAAATCGGGAAGAGCAGCAAGTCAAAGAGGTCGGTTATCGACGAGAGCGACAGCGACCACGATAGTTCCTACGAGCACACGACGAAGAAGACGGCTGTGACAGAGGGCGGAAAGTCGAGCGACACGGTGAAGAAGTCGTCCTTGTCCACTTCAAAGGTCCAGCACACGGTGACGGGGAAAACGACGGTCGACAGCACCAAGAAGGGTGTGAAGCAATCTGACAGTGAAGAGGGTGACCGTGTTGGATCGCGATACAGTAAGGAAACGACCTACAAAACAGACCAGAGCAGCAAGTCGAAGAGGCAGGTTATCGACGAGAGCGGCAGCGACTACGATAGTTCCTACGAGCACGTGACGAATAAGACGGATGTGACAGACGGCAGAAAGTCGAGTGACTCGGTGAAGAAGTCGTCGTCCTCGTCTACTTCCAAGGTGGAGCACACGGTGACGGGGAAAACGACGGCGGAGAACAGCAAGCAGGCGACAAGTGCCAAGCGATCTTACACCAAGGTTGGAGAAGGTGGGGTGCATTACGTCTGCACCGGAGACGTAACGGACGACTACGAGGGTGAGGGAAAGGCGGTCGATGAAAGCTCCTACTCGGTACACAAGGACGTGCAGCAGACAAGTGAGGACGAGACACACCAGTCGAAGGACGAATACAAACAGAGCAAGGAGTCGAGGGAGGTATACAAGGAGCACAAGAAGCCCGAACACATGGAGGCAGAACAGGAGCACAAAGAGGCCAAGAGGGATCAGCACAAGGAGGTGAAGAAGGATGTACACAAGGAGGAACACGAGACGGTGCACAAGGAGACGGAGTATAAGGAGCGCAGGGAGTCGAAGGAGTTGAAGGACCACAAGTCCTCTGAGACGAAGACGGTCGAATCCAAGGAATCGATGGGCCAGCACAAGGCGACGAAGCACGGATACATTGCGACCGGCGACCAGGAGCACCGAGGAAAGGAGTCGTACGTGAAGAAAACCACCATAACGTCGAAGTTTCCTTGGCGAAATTCGTTACAAGTCGGTACAACGGTAAGTTGCTAAAAAATGTGACACTATATGTTTTCCAGTTTGCCCTCTAACAAGAGTACCATTGTTCTGTATCGTTGTACCGAGGAAAAAATGTTTTCCAGTTTGCTGAAAATGGTACGAGGTTATATATATATATTTAAAAAAAAATTAAAGAAAAAAAATGGTACGAGGGGTGGGCAGGCATTGCCTATAGGGGAAATCGGCGGTGGTACCGCCCAGCAATGTCCAGTCACTGCACC